CTCTCTCTCTCTCTCTCTCTCTCTCTCTCTCTCTCTCTCTCTCTCTCTCTCTCTCTCTCTCTCTCTCTCTCTCTCTCTTCTCTCTCTCTCTCTCTTCGTCTCTCTCTCTCTCTCTCTCTCCTCTCTCTCTCTCTCTCCTCCCCAACTCTTTCTATTCATTATGTTCTCTATGGACGTCATCCATAACATATTGTACTATCATGATTCCTTTGGTTGCATTTGCCATGTCCATGTTGACCGACCTTGCGAAATATATTTACAGCATGGGCTGAAGCATGTCGATTTGTAGGCTACGCCAACAATATAGAAGCTGTTAATGTAAATCCCGAAAATCGATGTACCCACATCTCTAGACATGTCTTTTTTTTATGACAAATGTTTTATTATCCCCATTGGACATTCAAATCTTGGTTTGCAAGCTGCTGTTATTCCTAATCAGCAAGCTAGTTCTTATTTGCAGCGGTCAATAACTGTTGCCATGCAGCCTTGGTTATTCTTTTAACGAAGGACAATCATGCAGCATTAACTCCCCTTCCAGCTACATATTCTTCAATATTTTTTGGACAAAACTTACTCCAATAATAATCTAATGGTTTTAAAATTAGCAGGACTAAAACAAAATATTTGGAATGCAAGTTTAGTAATAATAGGAGTAGAAACGAGGAAGTAGTTAAGATTGATATCCAAGAGATGCCTAAAAGAGATTATTTTCGATATCTTTAGTCAATAATCTAGGAGAATGGAGGGTTTGAGGAAGTTGTCGTGCATAGAATTAAATCCGGGTGGGCTTAAGTAGAGATGTGCATCCGGAGTTTTATTTGATTACCTCATGCTAATGAAACTGATGGGGATATTTTATAAGATGGTTGTAAGACCAACCACATTTTATGGCATGGAACGTTGGCAGTCAAGAAACAACATATCCATAAGGTGTGTGTTGCTCGGATGAGAATGTTGAAATGTGTAAGTGGCAACATAGGAAAGGATAGAATTCATAATGAATACATCCGAGGGAATGCATGGGATGGCTCCAATAGGCGATAATATGGGGGAAAATAGACTCAAGTGAGCTAGCCATGTGCAGCATAGACCTAATACAACATCAGCTAGGAGGAGCGATTTTGATTTAAGTGAAAGGCTCTAAAAGGGCAAGGGCAAGGGCAAGGGCAAGCCTCAAAAAGACATAGATGGAAGCAATGAGAACTAAGAAGAGATATGGTGACTTATGGTTTGATTGAGGATATGACCGTTGATAGAACAGAATAGCAGAACAATATTCGTGTAGCTAACCCCAATTGTGGGGATAAGGCTCAAATCATGATGATAATTCACTCCAATAACAATAACCTTTGAGAATAAGGAATTATCGAAAATGTTGGTGACAATTAGTCCTTTATTCTTCGATGACATGGGCACCATCAATAACAATAGTTGTATACCCCCTTGCTGGGCTGAGCCTATCATCATTTATCAACGTTTGATCTCATCCTATTGAATCTCAATTGCTGCTAGTGTAAAACCCTAGTGCTCTTGATTCCAAACTCCACCCTTCTCTACCTCCTCCTACTTCGCCACTTGCTCCCATTTGCTGATCTATGCATGTGTGACATCTGGTAAATAATTGGGTTAGCTATGAATATGATAGTTTTCAATTCAGCACCAGACTTTCTAGTTTAAAAAATTGCAGGAATGAATTATCATTGGATCGAAGAGATGAATGAATAGGTAAAAAGCTACACAAATGCAGGAAGTCAGGAATGAATTATCATTAGAATTGTCACCTCCTTAGCCGTCCCTTATGTTTTGGATCTTCAGCAGCTCTATGTTAAAAATACTATGTTCAAGGTGATCTGAGGGAAGAGGTTTATATGGAACGACCACCTGGGTACAGAATTGGTGTGCCATAACTTAGGGTTACCAACTCACTATGGCGATTTATGGACTTAAGTAGGCATCGTGAGCATAGTCTAAGAGTTTCTACACGGAAATAGCCTCACATGATTTCCATTGCAGTTAGGTGGATTACTCGTTCTGCATTTCTATTAACTTGCATGGGATCACTCTCTTACTACTTTATGTTGACATTGCTATTCCCAGAAGCTTTTGTGATCATACTCAAACCATAAAGAAACTCTTAGATCTCAAATTTCAGATGAAAGATTTAGTTTATTAAAGTTGTTTTCTCGGTTTTAAAATTAGCTAGATTAAAACAGAGTATATGGAATGCAAGTTTAGTAATAATAGGAATAGAGATGAGGAAGTAGTTTAGATTGACAGTCATGAAGTGCCAAAAAGGCCACACTTTTGATATCTTGGGTCGATAATCCAAGAAAATGGAGAGATTGAGGAAGATGTCGCACACAGAATTAGATCTGGGTGGGTGAAGTAGAGATGTGCAACTGGAATTTTATGTGATCACCACATACCAATGAAGTTGAAGGGCAAGTTCTATAGGACAGCTGTGAGACCAACTTTGCTCTATGGGGCAGAATGTTGGGCGAACAAAAAACAATATACCTATAAAATGAGTGTAGCGGAAATGAGGATGTTAAGATGGATGAGTGACAAGACAAGAAGGGATAGAATTCTAAATCAATTCATTCGAGAAAATTTAGGTGTGGCACCAATAGGAAATAAGATAAGAGAGAATAGACTTAGGTGGATGTTAAGATGAATGATTGCAAGCCTGTCATGACCCCTGCACCTATAAATTAAAGATTTTGAGCAAAAGGTGGAGCATGTTTCACATCCGCCAAAATACCACAATGTTGTTGGGGCACTCCAGTACCTGACATTCACATGACCAGACATTGCTTTGTTGGTGAACTAGGTCTCCCAATTTATCCATGCAACATAGTCTACTCATTTTGAAGCAGTGAAATGTATACTTCCATATATTATGGTAACAACTGGTCACAACTTACTATATGTCTGAGGAAACTCATCTCCGATCCTCTCACTATTCTAGCCTATGGTGATGTTGATTGGGTTGGAGATCCAGAATTTCGTCTCATCATATTTGGTTATTGTGTCTTTCTATGACAATCTAGGTTCTTAGAGTTGTAGAAAATAATGAACATTGGCTTAGACTATTCAGCATTTATTGATCGCCCTTGGTCAGAACATCTCTCTATTGTTCTTTATTGTGATAATTGTAGCACTATTTTGATTTCTCTTAATACAGTTCATCATGGAAGGACTAAGCACATAAAAATCGATAAACACTTTGAGAGAAAAGATTGAATATCAAGAAATTGTGGCGATACATCGGTACCAAAAAACAAGTTACAGATATTTTCACCAAGGCGCTACCATGGAATTGACATTGGTTTCTCAGAGCCAAGTTGTCCGTGGTTCAAACTTATGCACAACTTACAGAGGGCTATAAGTACTATGAGATATTTGGTCCCCATATTGAGGCATAGGTGTATCATAACCTATTCTTATGTCAGTTATTTATGGTGTGTCTGTTTTTATAATTTCTCATGTACGCAACGGTATAACAGTAAACTGGTCTTAACCCTAATATGCACATGAACATGGGTCTTCTCATCAATTGAGTGGAACAACCCGAGGTCCTTATCTTCCACGCCACTCTTCCTGGTCTTCTTTATCTTTGCCCTTTAACAAAGTTTCTTACTTGTCTTCAACTCAGGCTCTCTCTAGGGAATACCGAATCAATGCCAACATCAACCAACCACTCATTGGCATCATCTATATGTCTCACAATAAGGGAGCGATTTCATTTCTCTCTTGAAAGCTCTTTTTTATCCTCTGATTATATTGAATGAAAACAAAGTCATTCATTCTCTTATGCTCGAGCAAGTTTCTCCTCTGCATGCGTTTGTTGGATAGTGGGTGAATACATGATTAGAACTTAGAAAATATAATATTTGGGGTAGTCGAAGACTAGGACAAATGGACAATGCATCCGTTAAGAAATTATCAACTTGAATGTGCTGAAGTTGCTCTCACATCCGGATGAGCTACAAGTCAAATTCCAACTGTACATAGCCATGTTTTACAAGTGATTGGCGCTTTCCTCATGATTGGCCCACCATAGAGCTACATCACATAAACCTAAATAGGGTGTATTAGCATATTTAGAAGTCAAGTTAGAAAAGTTAGGATGAAGTATTTAAATCACAAATAAGCAATGAAAAAGTAAGTTTTGAACTTGGATACATTTTGGTGCTCTGCCTTTTTGCTATAGCCGTTTCAAATGACCACATAGAGTACCTATACTTGTCCAACTCCAGTAACACTTGGTCTTGGACTTTTGTACTAGGGTTGAGTCTCATGTTGCACAGGTCATTATTATGCATTAAATCCCTTAGTATCTATCTCAGTTTCATTATAGAAACAAACAGGCTGAGATAATACCCTACTAGGTGTGGGGACCTCTCCAGCTATTTGTACTAGGGTTGAGTCTCATGTTGCACAGGTTATTAATATGCATTAAATCCCTTAGTATCTATCTCAGTTTCATTATAGAAACAAACAGGCTGAGATAATACCCTACTAGGTGTGGGGACTTCTCCAGCTATGATTCTTCTCAAACTCAAGGTAGTAAATCAAACTCAAGTATTGAATAAAGTAACCTTAGCTAGAAAAATATTTAGTAACATAATATCATGTTATATATCAATCTAAAAATAAAATCTAAATTATTTTTGCAGGAATTCAGGTATTTACTATTTAGTCATTAACAAAAAGTCGCCCAACTGTTCAAAAAAATCAATAATGTCGCACTAGCATCAACAATATGGAAAGGGACAATAATGTAAAAAAATCATTTTACTACCCCTTTTCAATCTTAGGACAAATTTAGGACTGATAAAAGAGCAAAACTATCCTAGGATGGTGAATAAATTGTCCGTAAAATAAAATCAAAACCACTCTTGAATTGGGGCCAAAATCCATAACCAAACTTGGAAGGGAAAAACACAAAACAAAAACCAATATTGAGAAGAAATCGTTTCAAAACCCAATTTCCAGAAATATGCGCAATCCTAAACCACATATGGAATGACACTAACCTTTTGAAACTTAATCCATGTTGGTGTGAATTCTTGAACTTTGGTTGCCAAAACACTTCTTTTTGCCACTTCTTCAGCTCTGGCAAACTATTGGATTGATTACTTTTTAATTTCACGAGAAATTAAAATTCAATTTTTTTTCACATCTTCAGTAATATCAAAGTTGTTTTTTTGCTTGCATTTCTCTACCAAAAAATCAAGGTAAGAATTTGTTTGTTTTGTTTTGTGTGAGTGTGTGTGTGCGTATTTTTTTTATTTCCTTTTTACCCCGGGGTGGGTTGGGGTGGTGCGGATAGAATTGCCCCCAAAACCCTTTTAAGAGGAAAAATAACAAAATGCCCATGAGGGCCTTTTTCCACTCCTCAGTCAAGATCATCAAGGATGCATTCCTTGTTGCTAAGGCAGGCACGCTTTGGTGTGGCTGCATTTGGTGCCTGCTGATGCCTGAGCATTGTTTCTGAGGTCCTCTTCCAGCTAGACCTACTCTTTTGCAATCGTGACTGAAGCTCTAAACACTGTAGGATTCTCGGCCATATTTTTTGAGTTATCAAAGCAGCACGAGTCATATCTCATACTTTTTTTGTCGTAGCTAACTTACGGTTAAACCCAATTTACCTATCAAAAAAGAAAAGGGATTGGAAACATTTCAACTAACTTATATTCTTCCTTGGTTGTGTGGATCAGGTGTATCATCCTCCTTTGACATCTATTAAGCTTTCATCCCTGATAGACCAAATAACGCCGTTGAAGGTAAGCCAGGGAAAATTTCTTTGGTTCCTTACATGTTAAGGCAACATTTCTGGACTTAATGGGTGGTTTTAGCATCAACTTATCTGTGGCTGGATATGGTAGCTTCATGAATGGTCAGTCTTTGGAAAGGGAAGAATGTGGGGAATCTTTTATGGTGCTTATCGAATTTGAGCTAGTTGTCAAAAGTCATAAAGTCGTAATATTTCTTAACGCAATGAACTGGTCTTGGGATATTTGTTCCTACCTGCATGGTTTCTTCAGGCTTGGTTGACAACTCTTCTTTTATAAAATCTTAGGAAACATGTAAACGTCAATATGTGACCAGTCCCCTGGCTGAGATTTTACTTATCCAGATCTGTGTCTGACCCTGAAGATCTTCATTATGTATAGAGGAAACTCTTTAGTACTGCCTAGCTTCAAAGTTTTTTGACTGTCGTTGCCTGGATTTGAGAGCATTGTCGTTCTTTGCACCTCTTGATTAGATCTTGAGGGAATTTGAGAGCATTTTGAGGGCCTTCAGGCTCCGCAAGGTAGGATGTGCAGGATATGTGCCTGCTTCCCTCCATCTCTGAGGGGCACATTGCCCCATTTATAAGGGAATGTGCATCATGGAGCACTATACGAGAGAAGGTACCCCTCTTGTATGTGGCCCTCTCACTCCATAAATTTATGTGTAGGTGTATATATACTGACATGCTACTACACATTATTATTACAAGTTTTCCATAGTTTTTGCACGTAATCATACACATAATTATAGGGAGAAAGGCTCCTCAATTGTCCAAGGTTTTTTATTTTGTTACCCAAAGCATGATTGGCAATTCAACTAGGGCTGCCAACATGTATTGGGGAGTGGGGTGTCTTGGAGCTAGGCCATGCCTTTGCCTGAGGCTGAAATTTGTTGGAGAGAGAGAGAGAAAGAGAGAGAGAGAGAGAGAGAGAGAGAGAGAGAGGGCCAGATTGGGGGTGAATAGACAGAGAGAGATAAAGGAGCCGGTTGGGTGAGCGGAATGAAAAAGGGCCATATTCGGTAAATAGACATAGAGAGATAATGGACAGGATAGGGCGACTAGAGATAGAGAGAATGTGCCAGATGGGGCAAATAGCAACGTTAAATAATGCGGATTCTGGCACCTAGGCGTTTTGGGTGCCTAGCCGCCTAGGCACTCGCTCAGAGACAAGGTGCCCTCACCAAAATTGAACCCCCTAACCACGCCTCAAACAAAAAACACGGAGGAGTTCTTAAGTCTTTGGGAGTTTTTAGGGCAATTTTTAGCTCCAAATTCCTCATGAAATAGACGAAAATGGAATAGTAGAATCACATAACAGATTTACGGATACAAGTCTCAAAGAGATTGTAAATTTTAAGACATTGAAATGCTTGAAATCCCAAATATCATTGTTGGAAACTAGAAGTCTAGACTAGAAATAATACACAAAGTCAACAAGGCAAAATCAAAAAACAAATACATCAAGTCATCAACCAAACATGTAAATGTATCCTAAAAAAAAAAAAAGGTAAAAGAAAAACACATGATTCACAACATAATATGTTGTAGCAAAATAAAATCAAAACCCTCATTCAAATATGATGATACTTCAAAAATATCAAAATCAAATCGATGTCGGTTCAAACTTCGTCTATTGGGTCATCAAAAGTCTTCAAAATCAACTACTAGAAGCTCTAAAACCACCCACGAACTATTGCATTTGTTTTGAGAAGAAATTGCAAAAATCAAAACTTTATCGATCTTTTGATAAATCACAAAAGAGTAGTTTTTTGGGGAGTTTTTCTCACCCTAAAAGCCACGATTTTTTTTTTTTGGGGTTTAGAATCCCCCCCAAAACCTTTTTCCGAGATTTTTGGGGGGGGGGAAATAACATTTTTTTTACCCTCGTCGAGGGTTCTTTTCTCCCTTCCGCAAACTATCATTGAGCGGCACCTAGGCAAGCGCCCAGACTGTAGCGTCTAGGCGGCGCCTTGCTCGCCTAGGCAGATGCCCGGAGACATGCCGCCTAATTCCACCGCCTGATAGCTCTTAGGTGTGTTTTGAAATTTTTATCCTAGGCGTTTAAGCGGCCTGATTTTCGAACACTGGTGAATAGATATATAGAGATAGAGAGAGGGAGGAAAGGTAGGGCTGAGAGAGGTCGATTTGGGTCCTTAGCTTGGGAATTTGGGCTTTTTTCTTTTAACCCTAGATGGAATATAGAAAAATTATAGTTTATAGACTATAGCCTTCATAGGTTATATAATGGTTATAGTTCTTAGATTTCATAAAGGCTATAGTCTATAATGTATATTATATTGACTATTATAGATAACAGTATGTAGAGTAGATGAATTTTCAAGGGGGTCACAGATGGCTTGTCCTGGTCTGAAAATTCATCTCGCCTATTATGTCTGGTTTGGGCTCAGGTTGTGGGGGCCTAAAGTGTGCCACAAACACGGCTCGAAGTCAGCCCTCAAGTCCGGCCCGTTTGTCAGCCCTAAATACTATACCAATGATCTTGCCACCCACAGAGGTGAGTCGGTAATAAAAAAAGGTTGAATTGTCGATTGGAAACCCAGTATTATAACTTATAATATGTCTGAGTTTTATGTTTGTTATCAATGCATTATATATTGCATATATCTATATCTACACATCATTACAATAAAAACATCTGTGTATCTATTTGTATTTTGGTAGTCATTGCACAATATTGAAAAATAAATAATAAACTTCATAATGCTGATAACAAGTAAATACTTAATTCCTAAAAAAATCTGAGCAGGTAACTATGATGATATTTTAGACAATAATTCCTATAATGCTAATAATATCGTAAATATGTGGTAGTAATACTAATAGTAAAGTAAACGATAAGTGTGTCAGTCCAACAGAAGCCTCCTATGGAAAGGGGTGTTTCCACTTTTCCCTGGCTAAAGTGCTTAACTACCCTTGACCAAAAGGTTTGCAATATAGGGTGATATATATGATAGAGCTTCTGTTAATTAAGACTGGGTTTGGGAGTTTTGCATGTTAAAATTGCTAGTGCACTAAATGTGTACATGCAATATTTCTAGTGCACTAAATGTGGTGCCCCATTGTAAGCTGTAATTAGGTGGAAAATGGGCGGGGGTCCTTTTCAAAATGCATTTTAAAATGCTGCTAATAATCATGTTCACCTGCCAACATATTCTTCACAATTGAGTCATAATGCATTAAACACACTTTCCCAAATGCAGCCTAAAATATAGACCAAAATCATTTAGTTGAGATAACAAGATTCCTACAATTATTCTACTTGTTCCTGTTATGTTTTCCTTTCATGTGTTTTCAGTTTTGTCATCATGAATGTGCTTTCATTTTGATCCACATTCTCTAACTCTTGGTCTGGACTTCTTTCTTGCATAGTCAGAAATGTAATTGAACTCTTTATAATTATTTGGTTGTTATTAATGTTGCACAGTTGGTTTTAACCATAGCTTGTTTTGTTCCTTTTGAAATCGCATACTTGAGGAAAGTTGGGATCGTGTGCTTCAGAATCAGTCGTTGTCTGGTCTCATTGAGATTATCACTAGTACTTCTTCCGATATATTACTGTTGTGACAAGGAATCAATGTCATTTCGCTATTCTACTATCACTCATGCTGTTAAAATTTTACTGTGGTTAATCTTTGACTTAGGATCTATCTAATTTTATGTACAAGCAGGAACAATCAAGGATTGTACCAAGGGCCATTCACTCAATTAACCTCGATCCATCTTGCCCATATCAACTGGCATTTTCTCTAGATAATGGTTGGTATGTGAAAGAAATATAAGATAAACATCCACTTGGTTCTTTTGGAATTATTATAGCCACAGGAGCCATTTCATATATTTATGTTCCAAGTCATCATGCTCATGCATCACAATGCGCATTGAATAATTCTCTGCTCCTGGGCTTTCAAACAATAAAAAGAGAAGAAACTGTTGGGTTTGGTGGTGGTTCAAATTTTAGTGCTAGATTCAAGTACTCAAATTTAAAGGCAAGTATTTGTGGTAAGTTACTACATCCCTTGAACAGAAAAGAAAATGATTAGAAGTAATGTGATGCAATATAATTGAGTGATGTTTAGTTGCATATGATTATAAGGTATGTTGATTTATCATAGCATATGATTATAAGGTATGTTGAAATTAAAGAAGAGAAAAGAACTGTTAGATAGGTTCTAGAGAAAGAGAGAGGAAATAAAATAGAGGAGAAGAAGAAGAAGAGAGTGAGAATGGTGTGGTAGTCTATTGTGACCTCCACACCTATTGTTTATATTAAATTGGAACCTAATTACAAACCATGGACAATACTGTCCTAACCATGGACAATACTGTCCTTACTTGGACAAAGAAGACAAATAAGTCCTAAATAAAGATAAAAGACATTTCTGCCCATCAAATACAATAAAGCTTAATTCTTTTATTTCCAGCACTATGTAGTATGTTTTGTGCATTTGTGTATCGATTTCACTCATTGTGACCATGTTTTTACTTCATTTTATTGTACGAGCTATTTTTTGGCCTTAGAACACACCATTACTACTTGTAAGAGTATGCACTTGGCTAAGAGCTCATAGTCTGATCCATATGGTGATCATCACCTGATGACCATGAGTTATCAAATAATGATGTAGGAGAGTCCCACATTACAATTCATCATCATCATCAAAGTTTTTTCCCAACTAATTAGGGTCAGCAATATAAATCTTAGTCCGCGATTCTACTTTATTAAGGGCCATACCTTCAGTGAGGCTATAAATTCCCATATCTTTTCTCATTACTTCCAACCATGTCCTTTTGGGCCACTCCTTTGCCCTATTTGAACCTTCCACTTGAAGGGTCCACACTCCACATTACAATTCAATTTCATAAAATTATGTCCCTACTTTTCTACATCCATGGCCAAAGTCCAATGACCCCGGTCCATTTCCAGATGGGGATAAACCATATGTCTTGGCTGTTGATCTGGACATATCGATCAATACCATATTCTTCTGTTGCCCAAAACTCACAGCCATGGGCATACTTTGTCTCATTGAGATTAGTTTGTTATTTTAAGCATTTCTGCTGTGTCATATCTGTATTTAGGCCCATGTATGTCTTCCTGTGAAATTTGACACTGAAAAGCACTCAACATTGAAATTTTGTTGTCTTATCTGATTTTCAGCTGGTATTGTTATTATATTTTCTGGTTCAATCGATATTTTCCCTATGCAGGTCTGGGGTTCTGAACTTGTTTAGTTTAAGAGTAACACACATGCATTGTCCCCCTCCTTGGTTGTAAGTGTATATTTGTCCTTCTATAAATGGCTCCTGTCAAAGTTCAGATTAATATTTCCAGCCCAACATTTATTATTTGTTCGGTACATGCATGCGTGGAGCTTAGAAATTTGCCAAAGGCTGAAGACAATTTTATTCTGCTTAAAAGAAAACCATCATGGCTGCCATCAAGTTCGGTATGATTATTGTTCTCTGCTGGTCTTTGTACATGAATTCATCGTCCTTTCATTGATAGAATTAATGTTTTACAGTTTCCTGAGGAAAAGAATGCAATCTATTTATGGAGAACAACTTGAAATGCGTAGGCAACCACATGTGATTTGCTCTCACTGATTGCTTAGTTGTAGCATTGTATTGTTGCTACGTACATATGGTGCTTGGCATGTAGAAATTTCTTGTTATTGTAGTTCTTCGTACTTGAGTTTGATTCAAGGATCACCAAAGAGACGAAAACTGTGAACTAGATCCATTGTTGCAAAGTTTGCTGTACCTGTCATTGGTTGAGAATTGAGATTGACTGCATGTTTTTACATTGCCAAATCATTTTGACCTGTTGTAGTAATTCTGCAATAAATGCTGAAAATAAACTTCCTTTAATAGTTGTTTGAAACATATGTAATAACATGAAACCCGTGGCACTACATTGTGTATTATTACTAGCAAGTATAAGTTATAATTTGCAATGACTACAATTTTGAATCTATAAAGAACTTGTCTGCCTATGCCATTATGCAGGTTAATACTTGCTCAGTTTCAAGATTTTAGTCACATTTGTTTTCCATTGGCTAATGCCAGAAGTTATGCAAAAGAGGGAAGATGAGAATATCACGATCAGTTCAATGCTGCAGGTTTATAAACCCAAAAGCCATTGGTAGTTTGAGGTTGCTTGATATTGAATGGATGCAATGAAAATTTTGGTTTTCTTTCCCCAAGAATATCCAGACTCTGTTGAATTGGGGACTTGATTACATGTGCTAGATCTCCTGTCATCCAGATTTTTTTAGGGAAAGGCAAATCAGGGCAAAATTCGAAAAGGGTCCAGAAATCCTGTTTTATCAATCGGTGTTACCTTCAGGTTCATACCTGCAAATCCAGTGATTTGAGGAATGGGCTAGACTGGCCCTCTTAAGTGTTCAACTTGAAGTTGGACTTATAATCTACTATTCTACTTTGGATCTGGACTTCCTAGAAACCTGTCAATATCAGTGCCTGACTTGTTAAAGCATCCAACCTAGTGGTCCTACTGGTTTTGATTGGAAGCTGGTGGTGAACTGTTCCATTTTTTCCGTCAACCCAGTTTCCGAAAGTCCTATGAAATTGGTTGTCATCCCGTTGGATCAGTTTTTAAGGATTTGGCTGTGGACCAAGCTATTGGGTCGTTTCCATCTAGGAGAAATCTTTATTTGCTTTCCTTTTCTGGGTTGTTCTGGTTGGGATGTTCTAGCCTTCTTTCTATTAACTGCTTCAAAGCTGCTTCCCTATTGCCTCAGAGATATTGTGAGTGCGGGTATTAGAAAGCCCTAAGACCCTCTTTGAAAGAGTGCATTTCCATATCTAAATCATTGACTATCATGTTAAAAGTTTCAATATTAATCTTTTAACTCTAACAACTAAACTTTGACATGAGGTCGGAAGTATAGATGCTTATCCTTACAATTCAGGGGAAATGGATTTGATATCTATCAAAAAGAAATTGTTATAGTGGTTAAGAAAGCAAACTAACTAAATCTAGGGCCTCTTGTTTGTAGGAGATTTTTGCACTGCATTCTTAGAATGTGTTAATATATGTTTACTTATACGAGTTTCATACATTAGCTACTGTATGCTATATCATTTATGTTATATATATCAAGGTTCCAAAAAACTCTAGGTGGCCCCTAGGTAGCCTGCCTGGCCTAGGCACCCAGCACCTAGGTGGCTGCCTAAAACCTCAAGCATCCTGAGACGATAGACTTTAAAAAATATGCATATATGCGCTGTCCAAATCAGTGTTCGAAAATTTGGCCGCCTGACCGCCTAGGCGAAAAATTTCAAAAAACGTCTGGGTGCTGTCTGGGTGGTGGAATTATGCAGCCTGTCTCCAGCCGCCCGCCTAGGCACCGCCCAGTGACAATTTGCCGAAGGGCGAAAAAAACCTTGACGAGGGTAAAAAAATGTCATTTTTCCCTCCTAAAAAAGGGGGAAAAAGGTTTTGGGGGGTATTCTAAACCCCCAAAACAAAAACCGTGGCTTTTAGTGTGAGAAAAACTCTCCAAAAAACTACTCTTTTGTGATTTTTCGAAAAATCGATAAAGTTTTGATTTTTGCGATTTATTCCCAAAACAAAGGCAATAATATTTCGTAGATGGATTTAGAGCTTCTAGTAGTTGATTTTGAGGACTTTTAGCGACCCAATAGACACAGTTTGCACCGACATCGATTTGATTTTGATATTTTTAAAGTAGTATCATATTTGAAAGAGAGTTTTGATTTTGTTTTGCTACAAAATATTATGTCGCGAATCATGTGTTTTTTCTTTGACTTTTTTTTTTTTTCTTTTACGATATATTTACATGTTTGGTTGATGACTTGATATATTTGTTTTTTAATTTTATCTTGTTAACTTTGTGTATCATTTCTAGTCTAGACTTCTAGTTTCCTACAATGATATTTGGGATTTTACAATCTCTTTGAAACTTTTATCTGTAAATCTGTTATGTGATTGTACTATTACATTTACATTTATTTCACGAGGCGTTTGGGGCTCTAAAATTTCCCTAAAAACTCCCAAAGACTTAAAACCATGCCCTAAGAACTCCCCTATTTTTTTTGTTTGGGGCGGGGGGTTCAATTTTGGTGAGGGCACCCCATCTCTAGGCGGGCGCCTAGGCAGCTAGCCGCCCAAAATGCCTAGGCGCCTGAATCCGCATTTTTGAACATTGGTCCAAATTCACATATATGCAGATGCTCATGTCAATTTTGTATTTTTTGCATTTATATGCGCTCTAACATTTTTATGCAAGTATATGCGCATGAATGTTGGAAGTAGATCAAAACTTTAAATCGTTAGAAGTTTTGATTCTTTGAATATCTGAAATAATAAAAAAAATAAACTAGTCCATAGTGTATTTGTGTCCATATTCCATAGTGGCATAGTCCATAGTTTGTACAATCATCATATGCATAGACTCCAAGTCTCCAATATGACCATTACAAAATGATGCAATATAAAAAATAAGACGCAGCACAAGAAAAGAGAGAGTAAATCTTCGATTCTTCAAATCAGCAAAATGATCATCATTTTCATTCATCATCCCTAGGACCTACATCTAGGTTGAGGCCATCATCATCGGAATCATCATCCTCTTCAACATATTGGTCATCTACCTCAATTTCTTCCTGTATATGCCTCCTCATCTTTTTCCTCCTCTCACTCCCTACTCCTTTGTGAAGTACCCACAGCAGTTGCTGCTTGAGTGGCCCTTCTGGAGTCAGAAGCTGGATTGGAGGCCTCCTCAACCATATCCCATGTTAAACCTCCCCAGGGGAAGACCTCTTCAGTCTAGGGTCTCCAACGAACCACTCAATCGTATTCTTCTTGTCCTTCTAAGCAGTAGGATTCCTCTTCGCATACCGATTGAACTTCTCCTTAGCGTCTGATTATATCTAGCGAATGCCAAATCATTGAGTTACCTTTGCTCAAAGTTTATTCCTTTTTTTTTATATGCACCTATAAGAGGAAAAAAATAAATGCATAAGTACTATGTGAGCCATCTGGATTTTTAAATTTAGGCTTGAAGAAAACTAAAGTAAACCTGTAAAGGTATAATTAGTACTATATATCTATAGTTTGTGTCTTTACTGCCGTTTTGGGGTTTCTTTCATTTCCGACATTCCTTTTTAGCCATTTGGCACCATGCACGTCTGCTGCATAGATACCCCCTTCAGTTTTGTTTTGTACCATTGAGAGACTATGTCGAATTTTTTTTTGTTTTTTGTTTTTAATTTACTTTTCTTGCTATCAAATGTTTACAATTAAGCATTTCTGCTCTATATTGGATTAATATCAGTGTTGTGAATTTCCCAGTTAAATGTTCCCTTTTGTTCGAAGTGCAGATATTCGCCAGTGCATCATCCTCAGGGAAAGGGATTCATCTTTTAGATTTCCATCCAAATCCTAGCTCAGCATGTCATGTAGACTACAAGTGAGTAACACTGATTTTATCAATTTCAATCTTTTTAATGACAATAGATTGTTGCCAAAAGATTACATACTCCTGTGTATACTGTCTATATACTCCCTTGGGCAAAATTCATGGTAAGAATTTTTTTAGATCCCAAATTTTGGGGATGTAATCTCTAGAATCCGGTGACTAACCTCAAAAAAAAATCTCACCCTCTATGTGCCTAAAAAATAAGAAGGAAAGATCTCGATATTCAATACCCAAATAACTATTTTAGATGAATTTAAAAAATTCCCAAATAACTATTTTAACTGAGTTGTTTTACAGTATGCTCCCATGAGAGCATGCAATATGTTCTCTAGATTGTTTTTCTGTTTTTAATGAAAATATTTTTAAGTATTTCTGTTTTGATAGTGAGGAAACAGAGACTGGTATCGGACAACGGGGATGGCGGGCAACTAATGTGTTCGTTTCATTATCGAAGGAGGCCACAGTGTGTGCAGCACATCCCCTCGAGACTACCATCATTGTGGGAACCAAGGTACGATTCTATTGTGAGAATAAAAAGAAATGGCAAAAAATGAAAAAAAATTAAAGATCAAATGAATTAAAACATTTCCAAAATGATCACGACAAACTTAGAAAACCCACAGTTAAAGCAACCTGTTTCACCAACAAAAATGCACCAGACATTTGCTTGAAAATCAATGCATCTCCAATGCATGCAACTAGATCCCATAATTTCTTGACATGAATCATGCTGCTCTTTTAGAGCAGATGACATTTCCTAAAGTTTCACTTCACACAGTATTTGCTTGATTTACAATTAAAGCAATCTGTTAAACCGGACTATTTCGTTCAAGATGAATGCATCTACAATGCTGCAATTGGATCCAACAATTAATTTACAAGAATCATGCCGCTCTTGCAGAAGAGTTGACATTTCCAAAAGTTTCTCTTAATGAAGTATTTGCTTAGTATCATTCTATCAGTTAACCAGATTGAATGTCATTCCAGGATTCCTTATTGCTCACTGTCTCCCAAAAGTTTGAGTCCTCGAGCTGCTCAAGCATGTCTAGTGAGAGGTAATCCTGTAGCCTGCACATATCATACACAACATGTGTGGTAGTCATGGACAGTCCAGATCTATTGGGATACAGAATCTGGACTGTGCATTGTGGAAATTGTCTTTGTGATCGTGACTATTTGAATCTCTGAAATGGGTGCCATGACCATGTCTATTACTTTGAGAAGATCTTTAACAAATTCTATGATTTCAATCTGGTATCATACACTAACTTGTGTAGGTTGTATTTGCAGTATATAATTTGTCCTCTTGCAAAAAGCCAACAGATTTTGAAAAATCCTGTGATCATATGGGAAATACTGATATCTGACATGACAGCCTGTTTAATTGTCTTGCATGAGCTTCTCTTCCTATATATTATTATTGTATTTTACTATTATACAGTGATGTCCTAAACAACAAATAAGCCCTTTCGAACTTGAATACAATAAAAACAAGTATAAACTTGAACATTCACAACATGCCCCAACTAGCTAGTGTATAAGTATTCCTCATGCTAGCTTGCTTAAGATCACTTGTGGTTGAGTTTTCCCGATGGCCACAGTAAGAATGTCTGCTAGCTGATCGTTGGTTTTCGCATAATGGAAGGCAAATTTCTTTAGTAGCAACTCTTTAAATGTTGGTCTACTAATATGTGCTTGGTTCTGTCATACTAAACTGGTTGTGAGCTATACTAATGGCTGCCTTGTTATCATAATACAACGACATAGACCCATTCATTGTAAATAGGATTTTTAGGCCATGCGGTTCTCATGCACCACGAGCCATGGGTGGATCCTATGCATCTGCACTTAAACGAGCTACAACTGTATGTTTTGTACTTCATGTCACAAGGTTATCCCCTACCAGAGTACAAGCGCCTTATGTAGATCTGCCATCCACAATAGAACCAGCCCAATCTGCATCTGTATAAGCCTCAATTTCTAGGTGTCCATAATTAGCAGACAACAGTCCTTCACCTGATGAAGTCAATAATCTTAGAACTCTATAATTTGATCGAAGAGTCGTTTGTGAGCATGCTTGAATTTCCTATTCAAATTCACAACATATGCAATGTCTGGATGTGTAAGTGAAAGATATATCAACCAAACCATGTTTTCTGTAACCTAGAAAGAGGGTCAAAACATGGTTATACAAAATGAAGAAAAAATTGAGTTACCCAAAACACTGTCTTGTGTAAGCATGAAAAAAGGAATACAACTTGTGACAATACTATTTTCACACCAGAGCTTACCACTTTATTAAATACAATTAATTATGCCAAAACATCCACACAAATTAGAGAGAGAAAACACCATTAATTTTGAATTTTAGAGAGAGAACGTATCTTAAAATTTTAAAAAGATAAACAATATCAAATTTTAGAGAGAGGAACTACTAAAGTTTTTTAGAGAGAGAAAGTATCTTAAAACTTTAGAGAGCAACTAATCAAAGTTTAGAGAGAGAAATTACTTGAAATTGTTTAGAGAGAAACTATCTCAAAATTTTTAGAAAGAGTATCTCAAATTTTAAGTTTTAAATAGAGAAGGTATCTCAAAATTTAAGAGAGAGAGAGAGAAGCTATATCAAATTTTAGAGAGAAAAATTACTCAAAAATTTTAGAGATAAAAAATATCTTAAAATTTTAGAAAGAAACTATCTTAAATTTCAAGTTTTAGAGAGTAAATAAATCTTAAAATTTTAGAGAGAGAAACTATGTCATATTTTAAACAGAGAAATTACATGAAATTTTTTAGAGAAAGAAACTATCTCAAATTTCAAGTTTTAGAGAGAGAAACTATCTCAAATTTCTAGTTTTTGAGAGAAAGTATTATAAAATTTTAGAGAGTGAAACCATACCAACTTTTAGAGAAAGAAGCTTACTAAAAAAATTTAGAGAGAAATATCTGAAAATTTTTAGTAAAAAAAACTATCTGAAAATTTCAAGTTTTAAAAAGAAGAGTATTTTAAAATTTTAGAGATATAAACGATATGAAATTTTATAGATAGAGATTATCTAAAAAATTTTAGGGAGAAAAACTATCTCAAAATTTTTAGAGAGAAACTATCTTAAATTTCAAGTTTTAGAGAGAGAAAGTATATTAAAATTTTAGAGAGAGAAAACACCGAAATTTTTAGAAAAAGAAACTATTTCAAAATTTTTGAAGGGAATTTATATTAAGCTTTAGAGAGAGAGAGAGAATCTTAAACTTTTAGAGAGAAAGTACCTAATTTGTTTTTAGAGAGTAACTATCTTAAAATTTGTAGAGAGAAGCTATATCAAATTTTAAATTTTAGAGAGAGAAATTACATCAAAATTTACAGAGAGAAATAACCTGAAACTTTTTAGATATATGACTATCTCAAAACTTTTAGAGAAAGAAATTATATCAAATTTTAAGTTCTAGGGAGAAAGTATCTTAAAACTTTAGAGAGGGAAGCTATATCAAGTTTTAGAGAGAGAAACTATTTAAAAATATTTAGGGAGACTTTCAAAAAATTCAGATATATTTTTTCGAATTTTAAGTTTTAGAGAGGGAAAGTATTTAAAGTTTTGTGAGAGAAACTATATCAAATTTTAGAAAGAGAAACTACCTAAAAACGTTTTGAGATTGAAAGTATCTCAAAAATTTTAGAAAGAGTAATTGTCAACTATTTGAAATTTCAAAGTTTTGGAGAGAGAAACTATCTCAAAATATTTGGAGAGAAACTATATCAAATTTAAAGTTTAATATAGTTTTATCTCTAAAAATGTTGAGATAGTTTCTCTCGCTAAAATTCTTTAGGTAGTTTCCCTCTCTAAAATTTGGTGTAGTTTCTCTATCTAAATTTCTATAATGGAGAAAAAAATAATGTATTGTTGCATACCAAAGATGTGTAACATAATTTCACATGAAAATATTTTGCAGGAAAATGTTTCATATCTACCAAATGTGTGTAAACAGTGTAAAGCCATGTTATGTAAATAGAGGATCCAAACGAATGATTTGTCTAACCTGGGTATTATCTACAAGCTATCCAAACAGTATTTCTCAATAAGGTCTTGGTATAACCAGAGATTGCATGACAACAGTGTAAAGCCATGTTATGTAAATAGAGGATCCAAACGAATGATTTTGTCTAACCTGGGTATTATCTACAAGCTATCCAAACAGTATTTCTCAATAAGGTCTTGGTATAACCAGAGATTGCATGACCGTGATATGATCCAAAACATGGTTTTGTTTACCCTAAGATGCAAACGGGCCCTTCAAGATTTTCCCTTTGGATTTGGCCATTTCTATCAAGAAAATACTTCTATGGACCTAGATCTTGTATTTCAAACTCCCTTGTCAAAAAGTTATTGAGTTATTAAATTTCCTTAGAACAATTAAATAGTGTCATAATATCATCTACATATACAATTAGGGGTGGTACTGACCTTGCTATGTTTGACAAATAAGGTGTGTTTGCATGACTTTATGTATACACAATTCTTTGAGGGGCACCACTAAACCTCTCACATCGAGCTCATTGAGATTGCTTTAGTCACCATGTTCTTCTGTTTTCGCCGAGTATCGACTTTTAATTTTCTCTTTATCTCGGGAATAGATTGAACCCACTGACGACCTGAGATCTAGACAGAAGACCACTACACTCTCGTTGAAGAGAGGTGGGAGAAAAATTAGTCTTCTACCAAAAAAAAAAAAAAAAAAAAAAAAAAAAAAGAAAGGGTCGAAGTCTATAGAGGCAAATTTCTTTCTCGACATGGATCAAAACATTTGTACCCTTTTTGAGAAGAAGGATAAACAGGAAAAATATATTTTACAAATATGAGATCCAACTTTGTACAGTACAAACCAAGAACATGAGCAAAGTAGATGCAACTAAAGAGTTTAGGGGGGACGCTAAATAATATAAAATTTTCCTTTTATAAAATTTATTTCATGTTCTTATTTTTATTTATAGACTCTTACGCTTTTTATTTAGGGTGCGGTTTGTTTAGAGTCGAGCCTCTAAACAATCAAATTAAAACCCATCTTCAAATAGGGCCGAGAAATGTGGTTTCAATATTGTAAATCTTTGATTAGCCTTAAAATATATGTTTAGTTTTAATTATAAAATTTAAAGCTTAAAAAATGGTGTACGTCGAGCATATCTATGTAAACTTGAATAACTTAAAAATTGACGGTCTAAAATGCCTTACAAGATGCATTATTTTTAAAACTTGAAATCCATTTTTTTATCAAATCCATACATCTTGATGTCGAGATGATCAATTTGAGGATATTTGGGCATTAAAACAATCGCTTCTAATGAAATTTTTGAGGTAGGATCTAATTTAGTTGTATAGAGCCTAAGACTTTTCCCTTTTTTTTTTGGGTTAGTTAGGTCCACCGTATAAACGCAACTCGGGATGTCGCATTGCAATATCCCTCTACCCTCACCTCCTGACCTCGAGCCCATTCCTTACAAAGAATCCCACTTTGTTGAGAATAATTTTGTTTCCATTAAAGACTTCTACAAGATTGCTTACAAAGAAATTCTCGAGTACGATACCTGTCAATGGTTGTACCCTTAGCAAGTTGGGGAATAATAATATATCAACAAACCAAAACATTGGCAATGAATAGGTCTTATTTCAAAAAGTTAGTAGAAAAAATAAGATAAAAATATGGATCACCAAAAAATAAGGTAAATTATAGATCATGAATATTTCAGATTTGGCATAAAAATACAAAGTGAAAAAATTGATTATGTAAATATGATGCAATATAGGATTATGATTAGTAATTGTCAAATGCATACATTACAGCTGGTGAAGAACAATTTTATGGCCTAACCTAGTGTCGTTAGAGTAATACTTGACAATTTTTGTTTAAACTTTCAATAATCCAACAACAATGTGTATTTTGTTATCACAACACAAAACATAACATAGATTTTTTGGGAGTATATAATGAAACAACAAGAAGAATACTAAACACAAGAACTACATTAATAAGTAACAAAGACAGTAAACCAAGGTATAGGATTATTTTTAAAGAAAAAATAAAAAAAATCCCTCAGTATAAGACTGCAGTCACTTAATACAAAACACAGACCAAATATATAAAATAGTGGTTCATCCAAAATACTATGGTACATACACCAATAAAATAAAAAATAAAAAATAATCAAAGTTCTCTATGCATAAAGAAAACAACAAAGTACTTAAAAAAATTCAAACCTCACAATGAATTCTTAGTTGCCTAAATCTTTGGTATCATTGAATCTCTCTCTTGCTCTTTATAAGGACGCTTTAGTTTTAAAAAAGTAAAATATTTTTTTGTTGGGTTACTCCTCTTTTAACTCTACCTATTATTTTGAGATGTAGGATTGATTTGATATCTTATTATTATCGGATTTTTTTTTTTTGTA